TATTTTCAAATTGAATTAGGGCAAAATTGAATTTAGGGCAAAATTGATTTTTCGACTAAAACGTATTATCCAAATACGTTTTCTTATTCAAAATATTTTTTCCGAAATTTTTTTATTTTTAAAAACTATAAAAATTATTTTTATTTTAAAAACGCATTTACATAATTCGTTTTTATAATTAAAAAATTTATTTATTTTTTTTTTTTATTATAAAACGTATTCGTATTACACGGTTTCATCTAAAACGTATTCCGGTTTTTCGTTTTACCTTAATTTAATTATGTTAATTATGTTTTTTTCTTAATACGTATTATAATAATACGTTTTTTTTATGTGAACGTATTTTACGAATACGTTTTATAAATAAAACCATTTGAAAACGTATTGTCGGAATACGCGGTTTTGATTTTTTTCCACTCCTTTTTTTTTGTTTTTGTTTTTGTCCAGTTTTTTTTTTTTATTTTTAAAGAAATCAAAAATTCCCCTTTAGAATGAAACACTTTTTCCAAAGCAAGTATAATGGTGGGCCCCTCTCATTCATATGGAATTAAAATTTTTTATATGTGAAAAAAGTTCCAATTATTACAAAAAAAACAAAGAGAGATGCAGTTTTATCCTCCCTTCTCTTTTATTTTCATTTTTGTGTGACTATTATTTACTATAATGTGTGGAACTATCTCATCAATGGCATCTCAAACATGTAGTACATGACAAGAGCTATATTGCAAATTTGTTCTTCAATGTATGTCTAAATTGTCAAGTTCCCATAGGTAGGGTGTTTTCGATTAATCGTGTTGTGTTCGTGTTTTCACTAGTGTTTTGAGTTAATCGTGTTGTGCTCGTGTTATTCACTAGTGTTTTGAGTCATAAAAACATTAGATTGCTCAAACAATAAAACCATGGCCCGGACGACTTTAGTATCACTCATACTCACTGGCAATTTCATTTCAAGTGAAGGAGACTTGGAACCCAAATTTATATGATGGCCACTTTGAAATTGTTAACCTTTTTACTAGCATGCTTCCACCATTGATAGCCCCCCACACACACACACAATCAATCTGTTGGCTTGTTCAACGTAGGGGTGTCGATTATAGAGACAACTGACATAATAGGCTGAATACGAGACGAAGCACAACACGAAAAGCACGAAATAATAATAAATTTAGTTAAGATTCAGATCTACTATCACACTAACGATCAAATAAAATAGGTAGCACGAAAACACTAGTGAAAACGCGAACACAACACGATTTGCCGCAAATAGAGCACATAAGTCTAGACAAAATTTGGTGGAAAAAATTAAATAAAAGAAAATTGGGATTTCAATCCTCCCATTTGCCATCCATAAACAAGGCCAATTATTGAGAATCCCAAACACAATGGAAATTATTTGGTAAAATGCATATGAACTAGTCAGTATTCCCTCTGTTTTCCATGTGCCCCATCACATGCAGCAGCACAGTTAGACATTGATATATAATATTTCATCACTATTATGAGTTATATAGCCAAAACAAATGTTACTATATAAAATCAACAAAAAGTTGTATATAAAATGACTTGGAGCAATCAAATAAGGAATTTTTCCATAGCAGAGAAATGAAAATATCCAAGAAAAAAGATACAGGCATACACACTCATGATGCGCAACTCTTTCTAAGCCGATCGATCACGAGTCCAACCTCAAACAAACTGCGCCGAAAGACCATTTTTTTCTTTGTCTTTCTCCTTTTCTTCCCTTTTTCCCCCCTTCTCCGCTAATATAAATAGTCAGATACCAACATAAAATTCCGAATGGCATTTTACTCTGGCGCGTGTTAAAAAAACTAAATGCACCCAAGAAAGTCAGAGAAGAATTATAAAAAAAAAAAAAAAA